AAGTCAACTCCCTCACGCTGTTTGAAGCCCCTAGCCACGTAGCGCGCCTTGAACACCGGCGGTGCTCCAGGCGGCCGCTTCACCTTGAAGAGCCACATGCCATCGACTACGCTCGCCCTGGGAGGGGGAACTGCGTCGACGTAGGTGCCTGTGGATCTCCAAGACGCCAACTCTGAGTCCATAGCCGCTTTCCACTGAGAGGCCCACGCCCCTGACACTGCCTCGCGGTAAGTGCGAGGAGTCGGTATGTCAAGGGCGTCGGGGTCTCCCTCAGGGGAGAGCAGCATGGCACACACAGAGGGAGAAGCGGCTGCCCAGTACTCCAGCTCAGACTCTCTGTCCTCTAGGACGTCACAGCCAAGGGCAAACTCACCCCCGACGGACAGAGGACGGTAGGGAGGAGCTGGCACCACACGGGTGGCGTAGTCAAGGCGGCTGGCGGCAGCAAACTCAGCGATAGCGGCAGTGAGAGCAGAGACCGACGACGGAGGGAAACGAGAGTCGGTGACAAGAGTGGCGAGGAGACGTGCGGCAACAGGACGAACAGTGCGGTAGTAGTCAGTGATAGGAGTGGGGAGGGCTGGGAGAGAGGACGGAGGAGGAGACGGGAGAACGGACACAGGAGAAGGAGAACGACGACGAGACGTACAAAGGAGGGCAGTGTGGAGGTCAGTAACAGGGGACGAGTGACGAGCACGCGGAGGACAACGAGTGACTAAGTCGCGACGGACCGAAGGAGGAGGAGACTGGGGAGGAGGAGAAGACCAGACCGCCGGATGGTCGTCAGGAGGAGGCAACGGAGGAACAAACACAGGAGGAGACTGGGAGCGGACAGGAGGAGAGGAGGAAAAGCCAAGGGCCCGCAGGCCACTCACAGGTGGGAACAACTGCCGCTCCAGAGGAAGCTGCGGTGGCGGCTGCGGCTGCTGCTCCAGAAGGTCCAGCACCCGCAGCTCCTGCCGCTCCCTCTCCAACCGCTCCTGCTCCTCACGCTCACGCCGGCGGGCAGCCTGGAGTCGTGTGTCCGTGGCGGTGGGGAGGCGGAGTGGACTCCACAGAACCAGGGTCAGACTCCTCAGACTCAGCACCCCCAGAACCAGCACCTCCAGTGCCAGGACCTCCAACTCCAGCACCCCCAGTACCAGCACCTCCAGTGCCAGGACCTCCAACTCCAGCACCCCCAGAACTAGCACCACCAGTGCCAGCACCTCCAGCTCCAGCACCCCCAGAGCTAGCACCACCTGCGCCAGCACCTCCAGCTCCAGCACCCCCAGAGCTGGCGCCACCTGCGCCAGCACCTCCAGCTCCAGCACCCCGCGACCGAGTACCCCCAGACCTAGCACCGCCAGTGGCTGCACCTCCAGCCCCAACACCAACCGAGTCCACAGTAACCTGTCGCGGAAGTGCCGAAGGCTGCTGAGGGGACTGTGAGGAGGACTGCGGGGAGGGAGACGCTACCTGACGCGCGACCGAGGGTAGAGGGGTAACGTGGGACACACCAGACGGGGCAGGACCAGGGGGGGGCGGGGGTACCGGAGGAGCGGGAGCAGGAGGAGGAGAGGGTGCGAGGAAAAGAGGGGGAGGGGGTACCGGGAGACCTCGACAGGGGTACCGGGTGTAGTAGGACACGGACTCGTCAAACCGGACGTCACGGGAGTCTAGGAAGTGGTGGAGGGGAGGGTGGTAAAAGGACCAGTCGGCAGAGTCCACTGGGAAACCAAGGAAGACACAGGGGACGGCGCGTGCCGAGAGCTTGTCCGCGGAGGTGTCGCGAACAAGTGCAAGGCAGCCCCAGACTCGAAAGGCCGACCCGACACCAGGGGAACCAGTCCAAAGACTGGTCGGTGAAACCTCGGGCCGCGAGACACGCGGCTGGAGGTTCAGCTGGTGTGCGGCGTAGCGAACCGCGTGGGGCCACAGAAAATGGGGCGCACGGGCATGGATCATGGACGTGCGGGCGATGTCCATGACCAAGCCTATGCGGCGCTCAGCAACCCCATTCTGCTGTGGGGACTCTGGCCAGCGTCCAGGACTGGGTGATGCCCTGTTCGCCGCAGAATCCGCCGAGAATGCCGGAGCGAAACTTGCCCCCACGGTCGGAGTGGAGACAACTGACTCGAGGACCACGAGTGCCCTCAGTGGCTAGAAGCCACCTGATCAGCGTAGCAGTCACCTCGGACTTCTTCGCAAGAGGGAACACTGTGGTGTACCTGGAGAAGTCGTCAACGACCACCAGAAAGTAAACGCTCCATCCCAGACCCCTGCGTCGGGGCAGGGCCCCAGACGTCCAAGTGGAGAGTCTCGAAGGGAGCGGTGGCCGGACGAAGGGAGGAGGAGTGGGGAGTGGCGCGTAAGCGACCGACGACGCACGGAGAGCAAGGAGGGGCAAAGCGAGAGAGGGAGCGACGGGAAGGTGCGTGGGAGACCTGAGACAAGTCCCTGACTGAGCATGGCCACGTAGGCGAGGGAGCGACGGGTGGCCAAGGCGGTGGTGCCACAGGACGGTGCGGTGGGTGAGAGAGCGACAGGAGCAAGACGCCGCGACTGGACTGGGCACAGCGACCGGACCGGACACTACTACCTGTCTAGACACAGCAACTGGACTGGGGACCTGGGCTGGAGGGGACGCAACGACCTGAGGGGAGGACGCGACCGGGGAGCGCTCGGTGTGGAGAACGTAGAGACCGGAGCGGGGCTCCCTGGTGAACGTGGCCAGAACAGCACCTATGGTAGCGTCTGTACAGACTGCAGTCCGCCCACCCCCCACGAAGGTAACCGTGATCCCCCTGTCCTGGAGGTATCCAACACCCACCAAGTTCCGAGTGAACGAGGGGATGTGGAGGCCGCGCAGGACACCAGAGGGGACCACAGGGCACGGGAGGGTGGTGGAGCTACGCGCAACGGCTGGTCCAGAGGTAGGATCAGCCAGAGCCACCGACACAGGTGTGAGGAGTGGTGTAAGGGTCGTGTGGTCGCGGAAGAAGCACTGAGACGCGCCCGAGTCCAGCGTGAATGACAGAGAGGCCTCAGCCGGCGGGTCACCTGACCCAGTCGCTACACAAGCACCTAGAGCAGCAACACAAGCACCTAAGCTAGACAGGCACAAGGCTACACTAGCAGGAGGCAAGCAGGCTAACCTACGAACACGCGAGCACACAGATCCATCAGCACTAAAGTCAGCATCAACATACAAAGCATGCTGACGCGCATCGTCCATGGACAAATCAAAGACATCAATCTTACGGGCTAACAGACGAGACCAGCGAGGTGTGACCGCCAGCGGGCCCCAACGAGCCTGGTAGAGGTCGTCGAGGCGGCGGAAGCACCGCGCGGCAGAGTGGTCGTCGCGACCACAGAGACAGGGGCTCCCCGGCCCGGTGACGCACCAGTGGGTGCACGGGCCAGCGTCACGGCGAGGGGGGCGAGGGGCCCAGCTGGAAGTACTGCTGCTGCGGCTGGTGCTCCCAGGGCCGCCCGGACCCCACTGCGGCGGGGGACCCCAGTGCTGCTGGCGGACCCCACTGCAGCGGGGGCCCCCACTGCTGGGGTGCCTGCTTCTGCTGCAGTCCCTGCTGCTGCTAGCTGGCTGTCCCTGCTGTGGCGGGTGCTGCTGTGGGTACCGCTGTGGCTGCTGCTGCTGTGGGCCTCCACCAGTGGGAGGGCCCGGCTGTCCGGCGCCCGCTCCAGGGCCCCCTCCTCCCGGTGCACCACCGCCGCCGCTGCCACCTCCACCCCCGCCACTCCCACCTCCACCGCCTCCTCCACCGCCCCCTTCACCGCCGCCGCCGTCCGCCCCCACCCCCCCCCCTTCCCGCCCTTTTTGCCGCTCTTGCCCCGTTTCTGCCAGTCTGCGGCAGAAACGGCAGCAGTGTCCTCAGAGACCGACACAGCAGTAGAGGCGCGGGTAGCGGTGAAAGTGGGAAGCTGAGGGGCGGCACACCCCGCAAAGAGACGGGGGGCCACCGCATCAGTGGCGGAGGCAACGGTGAGGAGACTGCTCTCGATGGTCCCTAGAGCAGTCGCTAGGAGGTCGATAGTGAGCTCAGTGGGGTGCTTCTGAAGAAGCGCGTCGCGGGCAGTGGCAAGGCGGTCAGGGAGGCGGGTGACTAACCAGTGAACAGTGAGCCACATGGGGGGGGGAGCAACTAGAAGCTGTGCGTCGGTACAGGCATCGCGGAAACCAGCGTCAAGCGAGCGCAGGTGAGTCACTAGGTCGGAAACAGTCGCAAACGAGCCTAGGTCGGGAAACACAAACGGCATGAGGAGGCGACTGAGGGAGGCAGAGGAGGGGGTGGAGTAGCGAGCAACAATAGCCTCCCAAACCCCCTGTGCAGTCTCCACCTGGTCAAAGTGGGCGGCCTCAGTCGGGGGGAGAAGCTCCGACAGAGTGAGAGCGGCGGCTGCGTCACGCGAGAGCCACACGTCCCTGGCCAGGACCCGACGGTCGTAGTCCGCCTGTGCCGTAGGGGTCGGCTCCGGGGTGGTCGGCAGGGCGGCGGGGGACGGGGGGGCCTGTAGGGCACCAGACGCGTGAGCCCACAGGGTGGCGCCGTCCTGTCGCTGGCTGGTGAGGAAGCGTGTGGTCTGGCGCTGCCAGGTACCGAACTCGATTGGGCGTCCCTCCGCATCGAAACGGAGGCGACGGGCCTCCATAGCGGAGCCCATGCTAGAGGCGGCTGGAGCACGGCGGAGGCGGAGCTAAGAACGAGGAGGAAAACTACGGAGCGCCAGGAGAGAAAGCGGCGGAGCGAGAGACTAGGAGTACCGAGCGACCTAGACTAGGCGTGAAATCGTGGATCGCCAGCTACAGGTGCGAGGAGCGAGGTATGAGCGGCTAAAACGGCTCTAACCTAGGTGACCGGCGAGAGAGAGCGGCTGCCAGCCGCTGAGGGATAGACCAGTGTCAGCAGAGCTGGGGAGGGCCCCGCGCACAAGGCGGTGGTGGGGCTAAGGTGATGAACAGTGAGAGAGGGGCGGGGAGGCCGAATGCGACGGTGAAAATGGCGGGAGGAGGATCTAACGGTGGGAAATGGGCGGGGAGGGGGAGGTTGACGCGACGGGCAAGGGAGGGCGACGGGATTGGGAGGGGAGGGCGACGCGACGGGCAGGGGGAAGGGAGGCGACGCGACGGGCAGGGGAAGGGGAGGCGAACGCGACGGGCAGGAAGAGGGGAGGCGACGCGACGGGCAGGGGGAAGGGAGGCGACGCGACGGGCAGGAGGAGGGGAGGCGAACGCGACGGGCAGGAGGAGGGGAGGCGACGCGACGGGCAGGGGGAAGGGAGGCGACGCAACGGGCAGGAGGAGGGGAGGCGAACGCGACGGGCAGGAGGAGGGGAGGCGACGCGACGGGGAGGGGAAGGGGAGGGGTGGCGACGCGACGGGGAGGGGGGAGGGCGCGACGGGCAGGGGGAGGGCGCGACGGGCAGGGGGAGGGCGCGACGGTCAGGGGGGAGGGCGCGACGGGCAGGGGGAGGGCGCGACAGTGGGAGGGGGCCGGGCTAGGCGCGCGGTGAGGGCGTGGAGGGCGCGGAGGGTACTAACGTGCGGAGGGCGCGGAGGGCACGAACGTGCGGAGGGCGCGGAGGGCACGGAGGGGCGGGCCGAGGGGCGCACTAAGGGGCGCGACGTGGGGCGGGCTGAGGGCCGCGCTAAGGGGCGCGAGGGCGCTAGGAGCGCGGAGGGCGCGGAGGGCGCGAGGCGTGACGGAGGGGCGCGGAGGGCGCTAGGCGCTACGGAGGGCGCGAGGGCGCGGAACGGAGGGCGCGCCGGCTAGGGCGGGGAGGGAGGATCGATACCTACTCGTGATACCATCTCAGAATCTACATGCAACGGAATGATTGGGATTAGGGTTTGCAAGCATACAAATAGGAGTCCTACAAATGTTGTACCCTCTAGGGAGTGCCTCACTGCAGCCTATCATAACATTATATTTGACATAACGGACCTTGTCATGCGTATATCACTTGAGCCTAATTGAAGACATCTAGTTGATTAGTGGTGCGGCAAAGGCCTTGTTCTGCAGGCGCATCAGGCCGCATCCGGCCGCATCAATGTACATTGATGCAATTTCCCGGGGTTCCAGGAGTTCTCGTTGATAACCTGCCGACATGTTATCAAGGCTCGCGATAAGCGCATCAGAGCCGAGGCAGACCAACCCAGAATGCCTGCAGAACGGCCTTTTTGGCGACCAAAATTTCCTATGTCGCCACGTTCTCGGATGTTTCTCGTCCTAGCAGTCGGGCGCATTTGAAATGCGCGCATCATGCAACTTCGAAAAGTCGATTCATTGCGCGCATCAGGCAAATTCGAAAAAATACTGCAACCTCATTGGCCAATCGTTTTGGCACCTCCGAAATTCAGCGACATCTAACTGAATGTTGAAATTCGCCAGGAAATTGAATGCCCAATTTCCAGACCTCAATTGAATTTCGTCAAATTTTCCAAGCCTCAATTCGACATGTCCGAACCTAAATTTCGCAATTTCAATTTTGCCATTTCCGAACCTCTATTTTCCAATGTGCGCATCAGTCCGAGCCTCCGGCGCATCAGAGCTGATGCGCCTGCAGAACACGGCCAAAGAGTAACAAAAAAACTGGAATAGCAATAAATTTGTACGTAAACAAGCATGCACCTGGGGTTTTAATCTGGTAAGATCTGTACACAATATGACATGGTACTGTACCATGTATAAATTATCGACCTCAGGGCCACACATCAGGAGTATTTGCGAGGGCCATAAGTTAATACCTAAAACGCTGATGACGGTTATGCTGCTGGTGTTAAAGGGCGGCTGTTTCTTAATGGTGGTGATTGTGATTGTAATGGTGATTGTGATTGTGATTGTGATTGTGACAGTGATTGTGATTGTGATTGTGATTGTGATTGTGATTGTGATGGTGATGGTGATGGTGATGGTGATGGTGATGGTGATGGTGATGGTGATGGTGATGGTGATGGTGATGGTGATGGTGATGGTGATGGTGATGGTGATGGTGATTGTGATTGTGATTGTGATTGTGATTGTGAATGTGAATGTGAATGTGAATTGAATGTTGATGATGATTGTGATTGTGTTGGTGATTGTGCCGGGGCTGCCAGTGTCGACGCTCCTCGTAACGATGCTGTTAGCCTCGCAGGTGCTGGGTGCTGGTGCTGCTGCTGGTGCTGCTGTTGCTGGTGCTGCTGTTGGTGCTGCTGCTGCTGGTGCTAGTGCTGTTGGTGCTGCTGCTGCTGGTGCTAGTGCTGTTGGTGCTGGTGCTGCTGGTGCTAGTGCTGTTGGTGCTGCTGCTGCTGGTGCTAGTGCTGTTGGTGCTGCTGCTGCTGGTGCTAGTGCTGTTGGTGCTGCTGCTGCTGGTGCTAGTGCTGTTGGTGCTGCTGCTGCTGGTGCTAGTGCTGTTGGTGCTGCTGCTGCTGGTGCTAGTGCTGTTGGTGCTGTTGCTGCTGGCAGTGGTAAAACGGCAGGGCTTGAAGCACTGGGAGGAGGAGCGATGTCTTTTGGTGGTGGGAATGGTGGTGGTGGGGATGGTGATGGTGGTGATGGTGGTGGTGGGGGATGGTGGTGGTGGTGATGGTGGTGGTGGGGATGGTGGTGGTGGTGATGGTGGTGGTGGGGATGGTGGTGGTGGTGATGGTGGTGCTGCTGATGCTGGTGTTGCTGCTGGTGGTGCTGCTGTTGGTGGCGTTGCTGCTGGCAGTGGTAAAACGGCTGGGCTTGAAGCACTGGGAGGAGGAGCGATGTCTTTTGGTGGTGGGAATGGTGGTGGTGGGGATGGTGATGGTGGTGGTGGGATTGGGGATGGTGGTGGTGGGAATGCTGTGCAAGAGGGAAACATGAAGCAGAGGGAACACCAACATAAGGAAAGCCAGGGAGTGGATCAGCAAGCCAGAGCATCAACACGATCACATGCGCAGTGCTTTCCAAATGCTGTGACTTTTGAGTCGGCTCAAAAGTCACCTCAGAAGGAACACAAACAGCAAGGAAATCCAGGGAACAAATCAGCAACGAAAGCCAGGGATAAATCAGCAAGCCAGAGAATCAAAACGATCACAAGGATAAGCATTGCTTTTTAAATGATTTCGCAAGGATTTCTGTTCACTCCAAATTCACACCAGATTACGCATGCCTAGAAAATGTTGAAGATACTCGGATGTTTTTACAAGAGATCACCTGACAAACCACCTGATGAGGAAAAAGTTCACCTGGGATACGACCTGGAATGAGCAGGTGGGAACTTACGAGGGCTGGGAGGAGGGAGAGCTGGTGAGCGGCGAGAGATTAGGAGGGGGGGGCGGGGAGGGGAGGATGAGAGGAGGGGGGGGACGAAGAAGGTACGGGAGGTACTCACGAGGGCTGGGAGGAGGAGGGGGGGCTGGGGAGCGGCGGGAGATGAGAAGGGGGCGGGGAGGGGGGAGGAGGGTTGGGAGGGGGAGGGAGGGTGGGGAGGAGGGGGCCGAGGAGGGGGTAAAGGAGGTGAGGGGAGGGGGAGTGGGAGGAGGTGATGGTGAAGAGGGTGGAGGGGGGGAGGAAATCGGAGGCGGAATGGGTGCTAGAGCGGGATCTTGTGCTGCGAAACAAATGGGAATTAGGGGAGAAAGGAGGGAGTATAGAAAACAGAAGGGAAAAAGAAAACAAAATGGGCGCGTTGACGTGAAGATCGAAAGGTCGCAGGTGCAGAGCAGACAAGGTTAGAGAATACGGTTTTTGAGGCGCCTCAAAAGTCGTCTCATGTTTTGAGGCGCCTCAAAAGTCGATGACGTGAAGATCGAAAGGTCGCAGGTGCAGACAAGGTTAAAAAATACGGTTTCAACCCTGGTTTTTTTAACCCTGGGTGCAGAGGAAAATGCATGGAGACATGGTTGGGGGAAGGAAAGGAAAAACCAGGGGAGAGGGGAGGGCAGGGAAGCATTGAAATTCGTGAGCAACAGAACAGAATAAGAACACGTTTTCGAGTTAAATACTCTACTTTGATGGAATCAGAACTCTACTTCTCTTGCACACGGCCTTTGGTTTGCCGCCATACCTATCTCGGGTGGAGGAGGGCTGCACTGTGCAGTGGGCAGTGGGCAGTGGGCAGTGGGCTGTGTGCTGTGTGTTAGAATTATATGTTCTAGCATGCTAACACTTGTGACTGTACACCAATTGTGGTGTACAGTTGGGTTGGGACTACACCCAACTTTAGGTGTAGTCTTGCATTGGGGGTGCCAATCCACCCAATTGTGGTGGAGCCCCCAAATGCAACCCACTTGGCCTAAGGTTGCCTCACTTCCCAAAAGTGAGGCCAACCCAACCCAAGTGGGGCCTGAGGTTGCCTCACTTCCCACAAAGTGGTGGGCAACCCAACCCACTTGGCCTAAGGTTGCCTCACTTCCCAAAGTGAGGCCAACCCAACCTATGGCCAACCCAACCTTTCCCTTCCAAGCTTCTCATCCAACATATGTATGCTTGTTTCTCCTCTAATGGATTCATTGGTTCAGTTTCCTATTTTCACACCGTGTGCTGTGTGCTGTGTACTGTGTGCTGTATGCACCCATATCTATTCCGAACTGGTCCATTGCCCTCATACATACAGACATACATACCCGTTGTTGTTTTTTTAGAATTCTCAAACCATGCAGTGTGCCACCATACCTGTCAGCAGGCCCATTGCTCGTTTATCATACATACATGCAAACATACATCATACATACCATACCATACCATACCATACCATACCATACCATAACCATACCATACCTGTCATAGGCACGTCTGTTTCTCTCATATATACAAACCGTTAGAAAATGGTGGTGGTGGGGGTAACGGTGGTGATGGGGGTGGCGGCGGTGACTGTGGTGGTGGCAAGAAGAGCGGGGGAGGTGGAGGGGAGGGAGGAGGAGGGGGAAGAGGAGGCGAGGGGGGAGGAGGAGGAGGTGGGCTGGGAGGAGGCGGAGAGGGGGGAGGGTAAGCTGCAAGGGAGACAAGGGGTTGGATGTGAGGGGATGGAAGGGGAAAAGGTAAGGAAGGAAAGGAGGGAGAGCGAGTGAGTAGTGCGGGGGCGAGAGAAGAGCACGATTGGGGAGATGTCGGTCTGACTTTCGGGAAGGAGCGAATGCAGAAATTTTTTATCGTAAGAGATGCTCATTATAACGAAAGTCACTAGAATTGACAATCCATGCAAAGAAGAATGGCGCAAAGAGAGTGGGGCAAAGAGAGTGGTGCAAAGAGAGTAGGGCAAAGAGAGTGGTGCAAAGAGAGTGGGGCAAAGAGAGTGGTGCAAAGAGAGTGGGGCAAAGAGAGTGGTGCAAAGAGAGTGGGGCAAAGGGAGTGGTGCAAAGAGAGTGGGGCAAAGAGAGTGGTGCAAAGAGAGTGGCGCAAAGAGAGTGGGGCAAAGAGAGTGGTGCAAAGAGAGTGGTGCAAAGAGAGTGGTGCAAAGAGAGTGGTGCAAAGAGAGTGGTGCAAAGAGAGTGGTGCAAAGAGTGGGGAGACGTTTGAGCTAGAGGATGCATGGTTTTTGGAACCTGAGGGGCAATGGGCTGTGGAGGATGGGCAAGCACCACAGGGATGATGACCCCTGTGATGTGAAGGTGTTGCCAGCGAGTTGTCTGATGGGTGGGGCGGTGGGGAAAAGTAAGGGGAACATTCAAGTGTGTGGAGAAGATACACGGGAAGGGGGGCCAGGAGCTGTGGAGGGTGAGCAAGCACGATAGGGACAGCCCCTGTGAAAGTGTTGCCAGAGAGTTGTCTGATGGGGGGGGGGGGGGTGGGGGGGGGGGGGGGGGGGGGGGGGGGGGGGGGGGGGGGGGGGGGGGGGGGGGGGGGGGGGGGGGGGGGGGGGGGGGGGGGGGGGGGGGGGGGGGGGGGGGGGGGGGGGGGGGGG